TATTACTCTGTATATTACTCTGTATATTTTCTGAATCTCTGTATATTTCTCTGTAATTTTCTTGTAATTTCTCTGTCATTTCTCTGTACATTTCTCTGTACATTTTCTCTGTACAATTTCTCTGGTACATTTCTCTGTACATTTCTCTGTAATTCCTCTGTACATTTCTGCTGTATTTTTCTGTACATTTCTCTGTAGATTTCTTGTACTTTCTTTGTAACATTTTTCTCTGTACATTTCTCTGTACATTTTCTCTGTAATTTCTCTGTACATTTCTCTGTACATTTCTGCTGTACATTCTCTCTGTACATTTCTCTGTACATTTCTCTTGTACATTTCTCTGTACATTTCTCTGTACATTTTCTCTGTACATTACTCTGTAATTACTCTGTACATCTCTGTAACATTTCTTGTCATTACTCTGTAATTACTCTGTACATTACTCTGTTCATTACTCTGTACATTCTCTCTGTAGCATTACTCTGTACATTACTCTGGTACATTACTGCTGTGTACAATTCTCTGTCATTTCTCTGGTAGCATTTTCTGTACATTTCTGCTGTACATTTCTCTGTACATTTCTTGTACTTTCTCTGTACATTTCTCTGTACATTTCTCTTGTACATTTCTATGTCCATTTCTCTGTACATTTCTGCTTGTACATTCTCTGTACATTTCTCTGTTACATTTCTCTGTACAATTTCTCTGTACATTGTTCTGTACATTCTCTGTACATACTCTGTACATTACTCTGTACATTACTCTGTACATTACCTGTACATTACTCTGTACATTATCTTCTTCTGGTACATTAACTCTGTACATTACTCTGTACATTACTCTGTACATTACTCTGTATACTTACTCTGTAACATTACTCTGTATCTCTACATTATCTGTACTTACTCTGTACTTACTCTGTACATTATCTGTACATTACTGCTGTACATACGTAATTACTCTGTACATTACTCTGTACATTACTGCTGTACATTACTCTGTATTGCAATGAGTCGTAAAGACCCCATCGCACGTGCGATCCCTGCGTCAACGCTTTAATTACATACTCTCGAGGTGAAGGGCGCGCTTTGGCAACAATTTGCCAAGCGCAACTGCACGCGCCGCACCCAATATTCCCAGCGAGCCGTCCTCCCCGAAACGGGCACCTTCACTCTTTGGGTTTAGCAGGAGGTGTGACTCCGGAACTGTCGCTATAAGAGACTCCGGTGCAGCACACGCAGATAATTCCTACGGGAACAATAAATTCACGAAGCTCGTAGAAGAATCGGCAGACGTGTGTCGGGTCACGTAGGCACTAATTGCGCTGTTCTCGTAACCCAATCAAGTGCCGGCGATAATTGTGAATCCAGAAACGTTTTAACTGCCTATGGAAAAGCTTAGCGCTAAGTACGTGATAGTAAAGCTGGTATTTTGCGAAAGAGGTTGGGGACGGCGGATTGGATGAGCAGAGGGTGCTAGAAATATTGAATAATAGAGAAAGAAGTCGTTGGAGCGAGCGTC